ACCAAAGTAATGCAATCATCCACAGCCGCAAACTCATTGCTTCAACTGTGGCAGGATGTGTTGCAGCTCGCCATAATAAACTGGTAAATGGCACGTGGCCTATTTGTAGTGCCGGACTCAGGTAAGAAAATGGGCGTGTAGTATGCAGTTGATGCTGACAGTGAGCGTTTCGACCTCCGTACACTTGTGCTTGAAGGCATGAAATAGGTAAGGTGCTCGAGAGGCATGGAATGGTGCAAAATGGAAGAAAATTGTAGCCACCTTTACACCTGAGAGCAATCACGATGTCTCCTTCCTTTGCAGTCAAAACTCCCCCGTGTTTACCACTCAAGAACTTGGTCATCGAGAAAGCGAGGTGTACGCTTGCGTCTCTGGTTCTGATGGCGCTAACTTGGCCACCGCTGGTAGGGACGCCAGCCGATCACGGTAAGCAGTGAGAATATGACCCCTAATGCGAGAGGAAGAGATCCTCGGTGTGAGATCCAGGCTCACGATACTCGTGTTACGTGAACATGGCAGATTACAATTAACTTATCGGAAGAGAAAACGAGCATCGCCTTTTGACATGTGGTGGAGATAGCAGGCGAGATAAAAGAATTGAAGACGGCTATCCCTGTGTAGCACGAAGGTGGGAGATGCGTGATCGTGAAAGCAGTGCACAGCGCGCACACGGCAGATAAGTATGCTAGCAGCAATATTGTTTCCTTGCTACTAACGAGGCTTTTTTACTTCTGTGTGTCGGAAGCGCCTCGTAAACCATGGAAGAGCATCTGTGACAAGCGAATTTTGTCACATCAAGCTGAGGTGTTTGCAACGCCAGAAAAGCAAAGGGAAAATGAAGTGCAAGTGAAACCAATTGCCGTCACACTGCGTTTTTTGCACATTGCCATCAACTGCATGCACCATTCTTGTAGACTCGATGGGAGTGATGCGCATTATGAGAAGCGCGACTGCCTCATAAGCCCCCTCTCATTGTGTTGTCACTGAGCACGGGATATTGCATTGCCTTTTTCAACAACTTGCTCTGCTCCTACTTTGCAAACACAAGTCTGATTAACAACTGCACAGGATGGTTGGTCAGCCTCCTAGTCGTGTGATTTTTTGATTGGTGAGTCGGTAGTTAAGAGAAGGGTGCAGGATGTTCCAGTTTGTCAGCTTCCGTAGCTTTCAAATACGATCTACCAGTGTTCGACAAGTCAATGGTTCAATCTTCTTCGATCTTCTCCAACCAGATCATTCTTCACAACTCCTACATCAGTGCATGATGGATCGGAAGCCGCCTATAAATAGCCTCTTAGGGGTCGCATTCTCGCAACCACCACCGCATGCCCATCGCAATGCCCTCGTTCGGTGGGTTTCCTCGAGTGATGAGTGCCACACTTTGCCTCTTATGGTTTGAAGTCAATTGGCCTATCATCGTGCAGGCCTGGCGACAGCAACTACAGTATAGCCGACACAGATAAGACCTTTGCAGTTTGGTATGTTAAAGCCTACTGGCGATGCCCGCAGAGTGGAGTATGAAATAAATACCATTGCTTTGACATAGGAATAGTTTGAACTCAGCGCCTCGCAATTCACAAGTGAATAGGTTTTAAAGACGAAGGTGTAATTTGTGATAGTGCATCTTCTGGCTTTAGGACTTTGATGAAGTTACTTGTGGTGATTGTGAGATGTGAGGTGCTACCAGCTAGAACGGATGAGCTTTGAACGGCAAATCATATTAGTACGTTGATTCACTCTTGATCGCTTGTGATTAGTACATGTGATAGTGGAAGCTGGGGTCTTCACCCTCGTCCCCCCAATGCTTGTGTACATGTGTGTGTCTGAATGGAGACTTCATTATTGTGTTTAGGTTATCTAACGAAGAGGAGGAGAACACTAGCAAGTTAATGGCTTCATCATCATCATGGAGACAGGTAAGCGCTGAAACACAATTAAAAAGTCGGCATACGTTATTTTAGACGATCGCAGATGTGGAATCTACAAGGGCAGAAAGTAGCGAAGGAAGGTTTGATCATGGATCTACTTCCCATGCAACTAAATGGGCAGATAATGCAGTCTCGTTTATGATCAAAGATTTCTTGGGATGGTGCGATTGCTTTTATCCATCGTAGGTTAGTCAAAAGCACCATTTGAAGCACACACAAATTTTGGCAGCGGAAGCAGCTCGCGCCGTTTGGCTCGTATGGTGCAATCGCCTTACCGTCCTCAGTAATTGCAGATTCTCTGCTTCCTCTGATAAAGCACTTAGTACTCAACGAAAGGTGCTGAATCTCATTTTGTATTAGTTTTTCATCTGAAGTAGGTTAAACAAATGCCCGAACTCTGAATCGCTAGGTAGCATCGCGTATAATTTTGGATACACGAAAAGTGCCGCGACATTAAAAAGTCATTGACGTGGCTACACACCTCATTCTGCTATGAATGAAGGATATAGATTTCGTAGTAAAGCCCATCGACGCATTGGAGAGGAATGGTTGCATTAACTCACTTGCACCAGAATTGCACTTTAACATTGATGCGATTTTGACAAACCGTATGTGGAGATGTTTTATTACCCTATTCAAATATATCAGGACCGGTATGTTAATTGGCAAAAGTCTAAGTGGAGAACTTGTCATCATATTGCAACTTATCTTCGTCAAAATTTAACAGGCAGTATGAATTGCACGGAAGTCACTGCATTTCCTATGAAAATGCACATGCTCGTCAGTCGGCTCACAGATGATGTGCAAAGTAGGAATATGCAGATGATATGGGAAAGTGAAGGGTGGAACAGACTCACAAATCGGCTATTAGTCTACAAGGTTTATTTCAAAATTGTGGGTTTTGAAAGAAACAAGTCTTGCTTCAACAAAGTCGACCCAAGTTATTGAGTCAGAGAATCGAGGGCATCTAAATATGTCCCCCGTTCTTATACCATCTGGCAGCCGTCGTTAATGGCGCAAAACCACCACCACTCGTAGAGGTGTTTGCCCTGCATTTGCCAAGTAGGCAACTTCGATTCAAGACTAGTCCTAACGTCATCAGCTCACTGTCATGTGCACTTACCCACTTATGGGTTTCGCATCCTCGACCACATTTCTAAAAAATGTCGCGCGTAGGTCACACTAGTCTTGAATGAGATTTGTCGCGGCATTGTCCGATTATCTGTCCACATCACCGATACCATTGGAGGAAGGCCGAAGTTTGATTCGCTTATGCATTAC